CCCCCCCCGCCACCACCACCACCGCTGTCACTGCCATCATTATCAGCACCACCACCATCATCATCACCGCCACCCCCACCGACGTCCTCTGTTGCAGCATCCTCTCAGTCATCTGCATCATCTTCTTCTTCCTCTCCCCCTACTTCTTCCTCTCCCCCTACTTCTTCCTCTACTTCCTCATCATCGACCTCATCATCAACGCACTCATGGTCAGATCGGCCGTCACAAAGGCCATGTCGGCCGAGGTATCCGTTGTTAGATCGATTTACAGATGCCTCTTCGGCGGAGACGTTCCCCGTCTCCACAACAGCCTCCAAGACAACGGCCTCGTTTGTTGTTGAATGGCATGATCACCGCACCCCCTGCAGGGGTTAGAGATCTGCTCCGACGACATGCTCGCAACCGTACTGAACGACATCGTCGCTTTCAGTATACACTAGCGAGGAATAGTGCACATCGAGTCCGATGCCCGCAATATGGCAATGATTTCTTCAGTGCTGCAGGCTTACGAGCGCACCAGACACGAGGCGCAGCTACTTGTGTAGCGTTTGCACGACTAGCAGCCGCCCTGAGCACAAGTGAGGCTGATCAGCTTCCGATTCCCACATCTGGTCCACCCAGTTCTCACCCACCTGACCCGCCACTCTCATCCACCTAGCCCCACTCTCTCCCTGCCCCAAATGACAATGGCCCGTCTCCTGATTACCTGCCGGAGCCCCCGGTTGAAGATCATCTCTCTCCGGAGCACATACCGGAGCCAATTGGTGAAGACCACAACGATTCTCCGCCACCTGGGCAACCTGCAGAATCGAATGAGGATCCCCCTGCAGGATCCCCCTGCAGTAAATGGATCCCCCACGCAACCTGCGGAAGCAGACAATGTCATAGCGCTACAGTGAGGGCGCTGTGCGTTCTATGCCATTAATATATGTCTCCTTGCTTACAATTGTAATCCTTATACTGTTGCTGATTTCCCAGACGTTGTTCGTTGGATAGAAGAAGAGCACCATGCCGTCTGCCCAGAGGACGACAGCGCTGCGCCTGGGGTGAACATAGAAGTCCTGGCTATGGCATTTATGGGTAGGCGACTGCAAATCCAGCCTGCTCCACAAAACCACGAGCCAGGCACGGATCCGAATATGCGGGCATATATCTTATATCGTCCAGGTATGGACTCTATGGGACAATGGCGGTAGGGTGCACACAATTCTATCACCAAATCCTGGAGGGTCACTCGGTCTGGCTCATCCATCAGGAACAGTATGTCGATGAGCATTTAGCACTGCACCCCCCGGAGAGCAATCCGGCTGATTCTACCACAAACAGTGAAGGGACCACTCCACAGGATGATGGCTGTGCCCTCCCGTTGTGTCGCTGCACAGGTGCAGTTCGGTTGGCATGTATACGACATAGCCTCTGCTCCGAACACTATGAAGGGATGGTCGCTGCTAGCCTCTCACACGAAAATTGTGATCCCCAGTCCTGTGCTCATCCCCCCCACCCCCTGATTACTTTCCCAGCATGTTGTGTGGCCTTGATCTGCCATGCTTAAATAAGTATGCACGTCAGCCTTCCATACTAAAGACATGTCAGCAATATGCCGTGTGTCGTCAATGCTTCCAGCAACCTGTCATAGAAAGTATGTGTCTTTAGTGCGTGGACTATCCCCAGTGCCATCACCCTCCACATCCTCCTAGCATGTCCCACATGCGGTATGTGTGCCGTACACCTACGGCAACCGCTGACGGATCTTCCTCTTTCTTGCCAGACGAACGACGAATACAGCAGTCCGAGGAGGAAAATAGACTTCTCTATGAACCCCGGCAGAGCGATGTGCTCATAGTTTATCACCACCAGGGCGAGCTGTTGTCCGGATCATATCCTGCAGCAGCTGAATGCCCTTGCGTTGGACCGATCCTCCCTGTCGTTGTCTGCCCATTGAGAAGGAATACATACTGAGGAAGCCCAAGAAAGATGGTCCATGCAGTTTTGTGATGACCCGCCGGAGATTCAACTAGCATGTGGTTCACATGCCTTGTGCCGTGATGATTATGAAGGTATAGTCCATGCGAGTTTTTGCTTCCATACATACGATGACAGTCAGTACTGTACTCATGTACGGCACCCCAACATTTCATGTCCAATTTGTAGACGGGCTGGAACGGCAATGCCTCTATAATTGCGGTCGACGTGCCCCGGTGTTCCTAGCATGTACGAGCCACGTAGCCTGTGACATCTGTCTGCGCCGTGCCATTCGATGCAGCAACTGTGACTGCAAAAATTGGATGCGGTGCTTCCATAGCCCWCACCCGAACCGGTCCTGTCCGGTCTGTAGGGGTGGCCACTCGCCATAGTTAGTTTTTTTTTTTTTTTTTTTTTGGCTGGTAAAGTAGTCTGCTTCAGCGGTGAATATTTAGAAATCTGTGAAACCCGTTATACACCTTTCCCCTGCTCTTTGCATGTCATACTCTATCCTGCCCTCCACAAATTTCTTTCCTTCCAGTTGCCCCTACCTCCCCTGGCCCATACTCCTAGAGAAATCCGCCTTCTATCCCTTACCCTCCACTCTCCCCTCCAATCTGTTTGTACTACTAACAAATACCTACGCATGAGCATCATTAAGAGAATAGACGATATGAAGATCAGAAATGAAATGAACGGAAGTATGAAGATGGTCGGATACAGACTGTATAAGCTGAAGATCTGAAGTGTAATGAACAGGAGTATGAAACTCTGACGAGATGCACAGGAGCATACCTTCCCTTTTACTCTGCCTCCTCAAAAGCTGTCTCTTATACACATCTAGATGTGTATAAGAGACAGGGGCCGCCTTGTGCGTAAGAGGCACAGTAAAAGGGGAGCTGCAAGAACGATGAAAGGGGTACCCCAAGGACAACCAAAAAACTGTCTAATTTTGAAATTGCTTTAATATGTTGGACATCTCAAATCCTCTCGTTGTCTGCAATTGGACAAAGACTGCTTTGATTCTGAATCTATTCACCTGGGTGGAATTGGGGCTGTTGTGCGGAAAATCTAAAACTCCCACACACAGAGAGAGAGAGAGAGAGAGAGAGAGAGAGAGAGAGAGAGAGAGCATTCAAATTTCAAAGTGGGATGGGTGGTGATTGACTTCTTCAACGAGTTATCCAGGGTCTGAGAAGGAGATGCATATGAGTTCTGATGGTGGAGCCTATGAATGACCTGTTGAGCGTTCTCATGAACCTTGCGGACACTTGAGCCATGATTCTTGTTGCTGGTGAGTCCCTGATGCATCTGACGTGATTGACTTGTTGAATGACTTATCCAGGGCCTGAAAAGGATCTGCATACGGGATCAGATGGTGGAGCCTTCAGTGAGCCTATGAATGACCTGTTGAGCGTTCTTGTTAACCTTGTGGACACTCACAACATGATTCTTGTTCCTGGTGAGTGCCTTACATAGCTAATCTTCTATCCCGAGTCGTGAGCGCTTTGTGTGTTTGTGCATGGGTGGCACCATTTGAAAATTGGAAATTGGTACAGCAGACGCTGACCGAGGGGCATTCGACTGCAAGTGGATATATTTCTCAGTGAATAGGAATCTGCTATGGGACAGACCATTTGCTGAGTATAGTTTTTCATGTCTTGCTGACAGCCAGATAGGCTGAGAGTACTACTGAATTGTCTGGCCCCATACGTATGGGCTCAAGTGAAGGTGGGTAATGGTCCCAGTACTTTTCCCCTCCGGGTAGACTGTGGGGACTCCGACTTGGTTATTTTTCTGAAGGAATGCAATTAAAGTTATCAACTATTGTTAAAAAATGCCGTGGAGTCCTGAAGCATTTGTCTGCTGTGTGTGCTCTTGTCGTTGATGGTTAGAAAAACTTAGAATGCCTTCTGTGGCTACACATTGTTGCTGCTCCCTTTCCTCTCCTCCACCCTCCCATGAACTACCACCACTAGCACTACAAGCCCTCCCTTCCCTGTCTTTCTCTGTCCTCCCTGGCCCCTCTAACTCTCCGTCTGTTCCCTGATGTTTCTCTGATACCAGTCTTCCTCTCTCTCCCAACGCCAGGCCATCTGGGTACTGCCACATAGGTTTACAGACAAGCACATGTACAGGCACATTGTAGACGTGTCAGTTTGACTGTTTTGTTGTTTGTGCATTGGTCCCTCCTATTGTGAGTAATGGATGAGCCAGGCGTACTTCTGTGCTTGCATTTTGATTTATGTTCGGCAGTGATTGGTAGAATGGTCAGTGGTCAGTGTATAGAATTGTCCACTTAGAATGGCATGCAAGAGGCTGGGGTTAATCTAATTAATAAACCACGATTCGGTGGCTGCCGTCAGCTTGCTACCCACCTAGTCTCGGCACTGCGCTTCATTTTTCACTCTGCAATCTTCACTGCGCTTCATTTTTCACCCTACAATCTTCACTGTGTTTCATTTTTCGCCCTGCAATCTTGATCTCGATGGTCTAAGTTGCGGGTTGCCTTCTTATTACGGTGAAACCTCTGGTGAACATGTATTTTGTATCCTTGGATTGGAGGCAATCCATTAGTTGCATTTTTGCATCGCAGGGCTTTGTTCTTGTTACACTGTGATTCGCCAGGGCAGTCGGACCAGTGGTCCGAATGGCGTAGAATCCGTAGATGCTATAGCTTTTCTTTCATGGCATTTTCTTTGGCGCACATTGAATTTCATGTCGGTTCTGATGTCGCTGGGTTTTGTGTCCACGAACAGGCCAAAAAGAGAAATGTCGACCGAAGTTTGCGCAAGTCTGTGCCGAGTGGACCAAAGTTTGCTCCAGTGTGGGCTTGATCTTCACGAGTCTGACTCCCTACTACTACATTGGACCTCAATTGATAGTAGAAATTAAAAACGAAAAAGGGGTCTTGAGTCTTGACGGTTCCCGGCAAGTGGGCAATCCGATTGCCCACTTGCCGGATATTGGCATCATATTGACGGTTCTCGGCAAGCGGGCAATGATGCCAATATCCCAACAGAAAAGTGGGGCAAAAAACAAGAAGACAAATTGCTTGTGGATCTCTCTCCGGTCGAGTTTACGGAGATCTCTTTTCTTCCCTTCTCTTCCTCCTTTCCTTGGCTTGAGCATCAGCTCGCTTGTTTTGCACTCAGGATTTCTTACAAAGGGATGCACCCTTGTCCATGTAATGTCAGGCTTCTATGAGGGTAAAAGTGGGGCAAAAAACAAGGAGGAAAACTGTTTGTGAATCTCCCTCGAATGGAGTGTATGGAAATCTCTTCTTCTTCCCTTCTGTTCCTCCTTCCCTTGACTTGAGCATCAGCTTGCTTGTTTTGCACTCAGGATTTCTTACAAAGGGATGCACTCTTGTCCATGTAATGTCAGGCTTCTATGAGGATGTGAAACGACTTACTCCGGAGGAGACCAAGTTTTATGAGGCGCTCGATTCCAAAATGGAGGACTACAATCTTGAGTACAAGGTATGCTGTAGTTGCAAGTTATGTAGTAACTGTATACCACCATTGTTGATTGCACATATGAAATTGCGAAGTTTAATTAATTATGGTTTGTACCCGTGTGTATAAACAGTATAATTGTAAATAACATTTCACTGATCATCTAAATTTCATGAATACCAGACCTTAAATGTACATCACCTACCGACGATTGTACAGTATCACCGTGAAGAAAAAACCTTTTTCAGTTTCGTAGTCGGTACATTCAACATTGTATTCACATACAATGCATGTACCTTATATTACGAATTTCAGAGTACAACTTTTCAGGACCCCAGTACCGATACGCGCTCTTTTTTTGTGGTCCATTTCGGCTGCAAATTTCGACAACATCCTCAGGCAAAAGTTGTTTGCAACTTTGCATTGCAATGTTGCACAGATTATTTTTCTTTTCTGGATTTTCTGAAGTTCTTTGAGAAAAAACTATGCTTGCAGGGGTCCCCTCTAGATAGTCTTAGGAGTAGGTAGTGGAAGGTAAACAAAATTAGAAGTTGAGAGAAGAATATAGACAGTTGCGATCACCCCCCCCCCCCAAAAAAAAAAGAAAAAAAAAGAAGAAGAAATTCTGCAAACTTAGATGTTGAGTGCCTCAGACATCTGATACCCCGAATACAACGTACATCCTTGCAACCGCACGGTGCGCCGTACGGCGTGCGGCGTGGCACCTGCTCATGCGTCGTACCAGCGGCAGTCTCCCTTTTTGTTTTGCCGTTTTTGTAGATACAGAAGAGTACACCACCTTAGGAACATATCTTTTTCAAGTCGTACAGATTTTTCTTTCCGTCCAGTCGGGCACGAGTCTGGACTCTTTTTTTCGTGTCCTTTTTTTTTTGGCAGAATCGACCCTGTGGGACAGTTTGAGATGCTGGTAGGAGCGGTCGCCTCAAGCTGTCCCGGGGTGGCTCGATCTATTGGTGGAGAGCAGCACCTGCTGAGAAGCGAGCCCAGCGTCCCCATGTTACAATTGCTCAATGTAGAATTCACATCAGAGAATTTAGAACCAAGCAGGGGGAATGACTGTGAATCCCGACGACACCTTTAGGTAGCGGCATTACTCTCCACTAGATTTTATTTTCTTTTTTCCCATTCCACAACAAATCGTGGACGGGGACGCTGGTAACCATTGACCCAGACATTCGACCCCTTCTATTTGTTTGAGTGAATATTTCCCCCGTGTGCCGCACCGTGCGGGTCCTCTCGTGCGCCAAATGTGTGGGATTTTCCCTACGTCGTGTTGCTTGCTCGTATGGTACTTTGCATTCAAATGTACGTCTATTCAGGATAGAAAAAAAAAAACAGCGATGTCCGAGAACCCGTTTTTCAGAGGTAAGTTGAATAGATGTACGTACGTCCACTTTTTTGGGGCTAAGGCGGTAGTTGTAGATTGACAAATTGGCAATTTCGTGGAAAGCAAATGTTTTTTTTTTTCACTTTTTGAAAGTGTGAGATTGAAAGAAAGCAGTAGAGGGTGAAAATGGGTTGATTTTGACCCCTATTTCATCCACTTCCATTGGCTCAAGGAACTGTTTGTTAAGGCCTCGCATCGACCCCACTTCTGATCCAAATTCCTGCTTCCCTGATCCCACGAGGTCCCATCAGCAGCTGGACAGAACTTTCTGCCATTGGATTCAGTTGCACTGTGGCAGGGGCTAGCAATGTGGGTTTTATGTTTCAAATGAAAGGGGAATGTCCTAATTGGGAAAAAGAACAGAGGAGAATTAAGGACAAATCTATGAGTTCGAACCTTGCACATGTGACGCTGGTGGCATCCAATGGACCACTGAACTGTGGCTTGGCTTTTTGAAGATAGAAAACGGTATTGTACTATTTGTTCATTGGTCCATTGTTCAGGGAGGAATGCCTGCCAATTAACATTTTTACTCAAGCTGTTTTTTAAAGTGCCTAAAAGGCGAAAACGCAATCATGGGGCCGAGTTTGGGGCGCTCCCAAAAACAGGTTGAATAAAAATTTGCCCTGCAATGGGGCATGAACTTGTGATGGCACCCAAAGGAATTTTTCAGTTTTCCTTTCTCTTTGTTTTTATCTTTTTCTTTTTCTAGGTTTGCCCTTCCACAGGATGCCACTCAAAAATTTATTTCTCTTCGAAGGGCTACGGCTTTTTTGAGATATATCATCATGCAACTGATCGGCCCTAGGTATAATTCAGAATTGAGGTATTTTACGCATTTGCTTCCACTGGACTTCGAACTCAGGTCTGTATTGCAGCAGTTCAGTGGTGTACCAACTGACTGAGCTAGGCCATGCAAAACTTTCCATCTCAAGGGGATGAAGCAAATTATGCATCTATCTTTTTCGTCTATGTTTTTCATCTAGTTGGCCTGCCAGTGGGATCATGCCCCCCTGAAAAGCCAAGTGTTGGCCTGCCAGTGGGATCATGCCCCCTGAAAAGCCAAGTGTTGGCCGCCCAGTGGGATCATGCCCCCTGAAAAGCCGAGTTAAACTAACCCCAAATCGTCGGGCTGCATTTCACGCTTTCCAAAAAGCGAAAAACTCAATTTTAACGAAATGGGTGAGATTGCGATTGCAGTTATGTTTGTGCTCACTCTTATTGTTGTCGACTTTTTTACAACTTCATGCCCCTAGGCGTTACTTCGTTTCCGTACTGTCATCATGAGCTCCACAAGGATAGTTTTTACGAGCACAAGTGGATTTTTGTTTCGTCTTTTTTTCTTTTTTCTAAGAAAGCTGATGCTGTATTAGATGCAAGAAGCGTTGCAGTAGGCGTGGTCGGAGGCGCATAGTGTCAGGAATGTGGGTCTGAGTGTTGCTGATCAGATCATTTGTGCAGTAAGTGGAATAGTGAAAATACAATAATACAATGACACCTTTACATGACTGTGTCATTGTTTTGCTGTTCAGCAGACTCATGCCTCTTCTCAGATTGAGTATGGTACTTAAAAAAGGATTTATAGTATAAGCTTATAACAAGTCTAGGGTTTATGCGTCTCTGGTGCATGAGGTCTGTCAATATTAGGTACTGATTGAGTGTTGCTGCATATGAATGGCTAATCTGAGCAGGCAGCCAAGGGATTGAAAGCTTTGACGGCAAGGACAGGCAGAGAACTCTTGATGAACAGATCGCGGCTTCCGTCTCTAAGTATTACTGGAATCGACAGCTTCGGCGAAGGCTGGTCTCGAATCCCAAAGTGTGCATCAGCAAGGGTAAGAAAAATAATAACTGCACTGAGCTCAGATCCAATGCCCCCAAACATTGGTATTCTTTCATGGCCTTTTCCAACGGAGGGAAAGAGGCTCTCTCTGAAGGACTTCTCTATGTTTTCATGCTTCTGTTAAGTTTGAGGACCATGATTGTTGCCTCTGTTGTCATCGCTTGTCCTCGTCTTCTTCCTTTCCTTCCTGCTGTGTCTCCTCCGGCTGCTGCAATTGCCAACTTCCTGGAGGCTCCGGAAAGTGGAAAAGAAGGCGGTGCAGGATGGCCATTGACATGGAAGTCATGGCCTGTTTGGAGATTGACTGTCATCATCACCATCATCCAAGCAAGCAGTTCAGAGTGGAAGGTTAATAATCACACAGGTTTCAATCATTGAGGATGTTCCAGTAAGCAGTTCAGAGCATTGGAGGAACCACCTACATGTGCTCCTATAATATACTCCTAAACTCTCTGAATGCATCGTCAACCTGCTGACTTGTGGGCCTCCTCCATCAAGCCTGGCTAGGAGATGGGACCACCTACATGTGCTCCTGTTATCCCATCGATGTGTCCCATTTCTCCATGGTTCCGATGTATGCTGTGGTAGGTCCCCTCTGTCATCAGACATTTTTTTCTCCTCTTTCTTTACCTTGAGTTTGCTCTTGTGCTGGTACTGCACTCCGGTTTGCTCCGTTAGCGATACCTATGCAGTTTCCACTGCCGCTCGCACTTCTTCGGCTTCCTTGGTGACCACCCACTTCCAGTCTCCTTTTCCCCCTTTTTGTGTTCTGCTGGTGATACACTGCATTATTGTTCCACTGTGGATGCCCATCTGTTTCCCTATGATGGAGATACACCTGCAGCTTCCTGCGCTGTTCACACCTGTGACCTGTCCGATTTCCTCTGCTGACCGGCTGCTCCTGGTCTT